ATACATACATACACACATATATATATATGTGTATATATATACGTATGTATATATGTATATATGTGTGTATGTGTATATGTCTATGTATATGTCTATGTCTATGTCTATGTCTATGTCTATGTCTATGTCTATGCATCTGTATATGTATATGTATATGTATATGTATATGTATATGTATATGTATATGTATATGTATGTATGTATGTGTATATATATATACAATATATGTATATACATCGCGCATTGATTGATTGTGTATATGTATATGTAGTTGCAAAAGTAGTACTCAGCAGATGTAGATGTAGAAGTAGTTTGTTTACTTAATTATGTGTATCTATATCTATGTATATCTATATCTATATATCTGTATGTTTGAACACGTACGCATAGACCTATGCATACACACATAGAGAGAGAAAACGACCGAGAGAGACCCAGACCTTAAGGCCTTCGGGGTTTTCTGTTTTGGAATGATTGTGATCTCGGCGCTCTCAACCCTGAACCTCAAAGCCTCGAACAGTTCGCCTCAACAGAGGTTCCCGGTCCGGCAGAGGGAGAAGAAAAGAACTGAGGGCCGGATGCCCTAAACCTTTATACCACGAAAACAAGCCCTTAGATTCGAGACGCTAGACTCTTAATGCTAAACCCTAAACCCTAGGCCCTCAGTGCCTCAAAGTTAGGGTTTCAGACCTGACCAGGAATTGAACTCTAAGATAGGCCGTTCAAGAATTAGTAATACTTTTCCTTCGCGTTGGTTGTGATAGTTATCGTATAATATACCCCAAAGCCTAAAACAGGTCCCATCGACCTGAACATCAAGGCACTGAGCTTCATTCCACAACCTAAGCCCTGGAAATACCCGAAATCGCGGAGAGCCATGGTCACTGGCCCACCACCGCGCTCTGGGTCATTCCAGTATGCCCAGGTGCTTTCGGGGCTTGAGGGTTGAGGACAGTATGTAGCAACATTTATCTCGTTAAGGTAGGGAGTTCTCGATTCGGGATGCAAGTTGTAATTCATTTGGCATCTCTGCTTGAACTTGGGTCAGATCATGTCAGATCCAACAAAGCAAGAGTGACTGGAGCAATTTTTCTCAAGATGTTAAGAAACCGCGATACTAAACCACCATGCTACTTGGTAATACTCATAAGTAAAAGCGCATGACAGCTCACGCCATGCATAGCAAGTTAATGGTTGCCAGACGCAACTCTCAGTTTCTTAGGGTTGCAATCAGATTTATGTGGTCTGGAGGGTCTTTCAGGTTGTGTCGGCCGTTACGATCAAATCTGGCGACTTGGGGTTTGGAGTTTTGGGTTGTTTAGGCTTATGTAGGCCTTCCGTGTTCTTGGGCTTTGGGGGGTTGTAGGGCAAGGCTTGGATTAAGCGGTTTACGGTCTTTGAAGGGTAGGGTCGAAGATACCCGAGCCAGACAGACACTTAAAGCGTGAACCTACAGCCCAAGCCGCTGAGTCTGTCGGAGAGACTTGCTTCCACCTGACCGACTAGTGGTTTGGTAGTGTTTCGAGTTCGGGTTGCTTAGCGGTTGCGGAGTTTAGGGTTTAGGGTTCGCGGTTTAGGGTGGAACCATCAGCCCGACCCTATGCAGAGTATGTACGCAGGCGATGCACAAAAATCTGCTCCTGTTTGCAAGCCGATGCTGCACACATCGGACTGCCCCAAGCCTAAACCTAAACCCTGGGCATCTGCGCTGCTAGATTCTGCAGCCCTTTCCCAAATGCCGGTCCATGCTGGTTCATGTATGAGCCCACAAACACTCCGAAGCACTGGCATTGGGGTTTAGTTTGAGGTTTTGGGTTTAGTTCTGGGTCTCTTTTTCTCAGCGTGCTGATCTGGAGTTCAACCTTTGGTCGCCAATGCAGGGCACTACCTTGCGCGTGACGGGCCTGAACAACGACATCCGCAACACGCGGCTTGGAGGATGTGTGCCAGTGTAGCAGCAAAGTAGGTAGGCTGGTCCCCAGCTAGCTAGCCAGTTTTGGTGTGCAAAAGCAAAAGTTGAGTCTCGAGAAAGCAGAGACTGTCACAACGGATTTTTCTGGTTGCAAGAATGACACGAATACACAGAACTTAGGGGGCCCTGGCTCCAACCATGTAGCGTCACATCTACAGCTTCTCGTGGGACTGCGTGTTACCGAGATTGCTCGGTCTGCCGGGTGCAGTAGACCGGCTTCCCCAAACTCTGCCGATGAAAACGGACCTGAAGATTGGGGTGAAGAGTTGAGGGTGGCGGTTTCTACAAAGGCCGGATGCCTCACGGTTTATGAATACTACTAGATCACTAGATCGTGGTATGATATATTCCAAAGCGGGATCTCGTCAGTTTCAACTCAGGAAGTAGTGTTGGAGCCTCAATCGCTGGTGAGACTTCTATCCTTGCGGTTTAGGCCCCTGTGTCAAGGGCGGCAAAAGCATCATGTTATCAACAGCATTTAACACTCTGTTTCAACAACCAGTAACTCTAGACATTGAAACCTAGAAGGCTTCCTCAACTCTGAGCCCATCCCCGCCAATCCAAAGCCCTCGGAAGTCGGAAGCCTCAGCGCATCAACCGCAAAGCTCTTCTTTCCGATGGCTTTCTCGCGAGGCACCTGCAGCCGGAGTTTGGTGAGTTCGGGCACGTGCTGAGGAGACGAGGGTTTTGGGGCATTTTCGGGTTTAGGGCTTGGGGTTTTGGGGCATTTGGGGGTTCAAGGCTCTGGAGGAGGAGGCTGTTCTTGAGCTTAGGTTTCAAGAAGCCTTGGGGTCTAAGGGTTTTGGGGCGGTGCATTGAAGGGAGCTCAGGGATTCGGGCTTAGGGTTCAGATGTAGGTGTCGGGGTTTCGAGTTCAGAGATTGGGCTTTGTGGCTTGTTACAGATGGTTTTTTGGGGGTTTAAGGCTTGAGGCTGAGTGTTGCTGCGTTGTTTCTTCTGCCATGGACCACTAGCTAGAAACCTGTGTGGTGAAGAGGTTTGGCTTACAGCCAAGGGATCGCTGCATTCTGGCAGAGCTGCGGTGCAGATGCTCCAACGTCCTGCTTTGGCACTTTTTGGCATGTTGGATCGCTTCTTAATGCATTCTCGCTTTTGACCGCTTCTTTGGCTAAAGCGACGTTCTTGCGGTGGTTTCAATGCAGTTTAGTCCTGAGAGCTTGTCTGCCGTAGAGGTACAAGCAGAAGCTTGTTTCAGGGTTTATCTCCTCGGGTTTCGCCTTCAGGTCTAGGGCTCCGGGTCCTGCTTTAGGGTTGAGCCTTGTGTTTCTGGATTCATGGTTGAAGTTCAGGCTCTTCTCGGCCGCCGACTTACTGGTACCAGTCGGACCTGTAATTCGGGCCGAGTGGATGCTTGACCCATTACTCGCAACTTCGCAGCCCTCAACACGAAAACTTTATGTCGCGAAGCCAAGCGCCTTACAACTGACACATCCTACACATCAAAATTCCACATTATTCAAACCCTGCTTTCCGCATATTCGTAGCGGAACCCCTTGACTTTGCAGGATCCATGTCCTACAAGGAAAGGGGGTGGCTTTTGTGGAGCCCAGGCCTAAGCCATGCTTCTCAAAGAGGAGCTTCGGGGTGCATCTGGCTGTGCGTTTGTACGGCCTTCAAGTTTACGTGATCAGAGTAGCTTCATGGAGCGCCACTGCAGAAGGATAGCATCTGAATTTCCATCTTCTTTGGTTGTCTAAACGATTCTGAACAGGACTTCCGCAAACGCAGGGTCTCGGACTTTGGGAGGTTGCTCTCCAGTAAGAAGTACGTACATCATTACATATTCAGTGCTGCGGTTGGGGTTTGGGGTTTCTTCAGGGCTATCCTGAAGCAGCAAGCACGACCCCCCTCCGGGCTTAGTGGCTCCGATTTTTCTGTCATGGTCCCATATGCCAGGTAGACTGTAGCCTCCGCCGGAAGCAGAACTCTCAGCCCTGAGCCCACCGCAAATCCTAAACCTTACCCAAGCCCATCGTAAGACCTAAACCCTACAGACACCGTATACTCTAAACCCTCAACCCGAAAACGACCCTAAGACAACACTGTAACTGTGCTTCTTCGGCCGAGGTACCAAGAGAAGGCAGCGCGCGAGGGTCAGAGCACGGAGGGCCGGATATGCTTTTAGACGAGGATCTGTATGTTGTGGTTTCGAATTCGCAGTTCTGGGGATTCGGGGGCTAGGGTATAGATTTCAGATCTGTCCTGGCTTCTTCGTTGCACCTCGAGGAGTATAAGTGTAGGTTATCAGAAGAGGGTTCCAGGACATCCGGGCGAAAATCCAGTTCAGGTAAGTGGACTAAGGTTAGAGCTTCTGTCGACAGCCGCGGGATGTCAGGGTTTTAAGAAGCTCCCAGCACTGCGCTTTTCAAGGGAACGGTAATAAATCAGGCTTCGAACTTGAATTGGGATGATGTTGTCCAAGGGTGGGCTGTATAGCTTCGGCCTCTGTTTTGGGATGAAAAGAGTCAGCTCCAACCACCAAAAACCCCTAAACCCCAAACCCTAAACCCATCTCCCGACCTGGCAGAAGGCAGATGCCAAAGAAGCAATGTCCTCGCTGAACGGCAAGAAGGCCACCGCAAACCTTTGGGTTTTAGCCACATGTTTGCCATGTCTATAATACAGGGGCCTTAATGATTACCCATACTTTTTTTGGGGGTTCTTTAATATGAGTATAGTATCTTATATCCCAAAACCCGATTCTAATTATTAAGGCCCCTACATCAGGCTTACGGAGGCTCTCAGGGCTTTTTCTCACTCTTTGCTTGAATGCTGCGGTATGCTATAAGCATGCTCTTACCATTGTCATGCTATGGCTGTATCGCTGTATTGAGATGTCGAGAAGAATGTGATGATGAGGATGCAGATGGCGTTGAATGGAATGTGAAGCTGATAACGACTCGCGTGGTACCGCATGATGATGACGCTGCTCATGATGATGATGGTGATGATGCTGCTGCTGATGATGATATTGATGATGGTGGTGATGATTGTGATGGTGGTACTGATTGCAACCATGAAAGCAGCTCAGTTTGCGGCTTCGGTTGGCGGCTCGGGGCGGACGGAATTGATCATTTGTTCAAGAGAAGCCCTCGGGCCTTCTCGCAACATGTCGCATCCGTAAGCCTGTCTCCGAAGCCCTCGCTGTCGGAAGTGCTCTCCAAGCTGAAAGCCCACAACCTCGTTTGCATGAGGCGGAACTTGGGCTTTGGACGGCTTAGTTGAAAGCCATCGCCATGTAAAGCTGAGGGTCTGACGGTCGGAGGCTGAACACGACCTGCCGAGGAATCCTGAACCAGGTGCCTTGAAACTTCATCCCAAGGCCCTCCAGCAAGAGGAGCCCAAACTTTAATATTTTGGCGCTTTTTGTTGGGCCGTGTCTCGACTCCAAACCCTCTCAGTTTATTGCACGGAGAGGTACGAGGTTCTGTCCTCACAATCGACATCGCCGGCCCTCCGCCGGACCCACGGAATCGCCCGAAAGAGGACCAGCCAAGCTACATGCATTCTTTCTCTCTAAACTGCACTGAACACTAAATCCTCAACCCTAAACTTTTTGGGGTCCTGATGACGTTCAGGATTTAGGTCCTTTTCAGGTTTTCTAGCTTTAGGATTCTCCCTTTGGGGAGCTGGGGTTTCATGGCATTGCTGAGAATAAGAGTTCTGAATGATCGCCCCTGAGCCCTCTCCTACCCTGGACCCTAAACTTTCCAAGTGCTAGAACCTGCTGGCCCCAAACCTCAAATCCGCCACGTCACAACATGGCCAAACAGATGGTAGAGGCCCTGCATCCTATCGCGAATCCGAGAAACCCCAAGCCCCAAACCCAAGACCCTAAACACAAAGACCACAGACCCAAGACTATGAATCGTTTCAAGCTCTTGCAAGTTGCAAGGAGTGTTCGCGACCGGCACGTTCGTCAGAGAAGCCTGCAGAGACTCCGAGGCAGCTTGTCTTTGCTGAGAACTTTATCGGGGATTGGCTGGTAATTGATTGGGGTGTATATCCGGGTGAGGATCTGTCAAGCTGGGGATTTCAGTTTTGGCAAAGAAGTGGACAATCGAGGGCGGGGATAAAGCGAGTAAGTGTAAAGGTTGTGGTTGCTTCTCTGGAGGTAATGAAGGCTAGCTGCTAGCTATCCCAAGAAGAGACATCAGCTATAGCAGAACCCGCTCTAAGCTAGGCGAAGTGGCAGTCGAAGTCGTGGTCGGCAGAGAGCCGGCAAGGGTCGGCTACCCAGCTGTGCCGTTCTAGATTGACACAGGATTCAGGGCTTTCTGGGTTTTGGTTCATGGTGTATTTGGATTTAGGGCTTAGATGGTGCATATTGTGGAGGTGGATTCGGTGCAGACTGTAAAGAAGCAAACAGAATACGGTTTACAAAGGAGCTTCATGAACCTACTTCGTGCAAAAATCTCAGGTCCGAAACCTTAAGCTACGAGAGCTGCATAGAGATCGTACGACCCACTAAGCCCGAAAGCCGTTAGAGCCTATGCCCAAGACTCGGAAGGCAGCAGCTATCAATCCGGACATCATGAACACCTTACTGTAAGACTTGAATAAATGCCAAGACCCTGAAGTTCTGAACACTGCAGCCCTAACTACGCCCTGAAATCATCAATATCTGAGTCGTGAAACGCAAGGCGGCAAACCCGAATTTTAAAGCCCAACAAACCATGGTCTTCGGCTCATAACTCCTAGCCCCGAAGCCCGAACCCCTGAAGCCCGAACCCTAAACCCTAAACCCTAAACACTTAAACCCTAAAGCCTAAGGGCCTAAACCCGAAGCCCTACGCCCAGGCCGTAGCCGGAGCCGAAGTGATCGGAGCCGGAGTCGAAAGAGTCGCCGGCGCAATCGCGGCAGGCGCCGGAGGGGGCGGCGTAGCTCCAGCAACAGCTAGCTGCGCCTAGGCGCAGCTAGGCTTCCTAAAGGCTGTCGATTCAGGGTCTGCGGATTTGGGCTTGGATTTCCAGCGCGGGGAGGATTTCGGGGGGTAAGGTTATGGTGAGACGGATTGCGTATGCTCCAGCTTGGACGTGGACATTCTCTTGTCTCTTGCGGCCGAGAAGCAGACCTTGCCATGCACCGCGACCAAAAGAAGGGCAGCACGGCCCCGCCTTCCCGGAAACCCCGATGTTCTTAGAGAAGTCCCTAAACCGTTTAGGCCTAAGCCCTCTTCACTGCAAAGGCCCGACCAAGAGGCTCATCCTAGCAGAGTAATTTCACCCTCGTAGCAGTGAGACAAGGAGCCCTAAGCCCCGCTAAATGCAAACCTTAACCCTAACCCCTCCAGCCTTTGAAGGGCTTGGTCTTGGTCTTCGGTTGGGGCTTTGGCATGCTGGAGGCGACATTCCGGTTTACAAAGATCTTGGCGAATATTAGGAGGATTTTGGCTACCTTGATCTGGAGGCAGGACTTCTGCTGTGTTTTGGCACTGGGTTGTGGGGCTCCGGGGGGGAGGCGGGTTTTGCCGGGTCTGCACGCCGGATCTTGCATCATGATGGTCTTAAGGCCGGGCTGGGCCTTCGAGAGCTCAGACTATGATGGTCTTGAACCTTCAGCGCCAACTGAACAACACCATCATCATCATCATCATCATCATCATCTTCATCTGTCGCAGCTGTATCGGTGGCAGTCCCAGTCGTAGCCGTTGTCGTGGTAACGGTCCCGTGTTATCTGGTTGAAATTGACATCGTGGCATTGAAGCCGTTGCGGTTCACGAATTCAGGGCTGCCACGGGCACGCTTCCGAATATTCAGGGTCTACACAAAATCCGACAGACACCCGACAACTCAAAAGATTCACCAGAGAGAAACTGAAATTATCAATCATCTACGGAGAGAGGATGCATGTGTTCACGCTACTTCGCAGCGGCTCGGAGAGCAGCATGCTTCTCATGCTCGTCGCAGTTCCTGAAAACCGATCCTTGTCACCGTGTTCGGCGTATAGGATAGCTCTTTCGGTTGCAACACTTGCACTATGCATTCTTAAGTTGGCTAACTAATGCCGGGAAGACAACCTCTTGCGAGTAGAGATATCTCGCTACAGCATTCCCGCGAAGATCACCATTTGTCGGATTCAAGGTCAAAAGCACAACATTGAACCAGTAGAGCAGCGCACGAAAGAGTCTTATAGCGTTATTGCAGTCGACCACCTTGCTGCCATTGCACTCATAAAGTTTGTAGCCATGGTTCAGGACCGCTATTGTGCCAAGCAGATTTAGGGCTCTGAGAATCCTAAGCCAGGAATCTCGGTTGAAGCCCCCCCCCACTTACACACCCTGAGGCCGAAGCCGTCATTCCGAATCCCTAAGCTCTTAACCCGACCTCCCTGCGATGTCGTGGCACACAGCTTCGCACAAACATTGAACCCTAAGAGTTAAATCCGAAGGTGCGAGCTTACCGTTGAATACAGCGGGGTCGGTCGGAATCATTAGTCAGGATGTCCCTCAGTGTACCCCAAAGCCGTATTCTATTTGTTACGGACCTTATGTTGCACATAGTCTCGGCTTTCAATCTCGGCTTCTTTTCCATCCCACTCTAGCATTAAGTGGAGTAGTTTTGTTTCCTGGAAGATGTTTAGGGCTTGAGCTTGATGCCTAACCAGGTTTTAGATTCTGAGCCCTGGACAGCCTGGACACCGCAAGCCGAACCGCGCCAAACTTCCCGCGAGACCGTGGTCTTGCAACAAAGATGGGCTCCAGTGACTTTCTCCAAACCTTTTGGTCTACCTTCGCGGTGCCCGAGCCCTGTGATTTGGGGTTAGTACTTGGGGCTCGGAGCTTACACTTTAAAACCTGGGCCCTAGTTCTCCGAAGCACTCCAGGATCATCCACATGTGGCACAGCGGCCGATTAGGGGTTTGTGACATAATGCAAATGCTGAATGACATCCCCCAAAACCCTAATTTCAGTCCCACAGGCGTAGATCACGGAAGTCTGCACGCTAAGTCCTCAGCATGATCACCGTTCACTGCAAGCTAAATCCGGAAGCAGCAGTCTCACCTGTGACTATCAAAGTCTTACGCCTGGAGCCCAGATGCCACAAGCTTCCGAGCAAACCAGGAGGGACCAGTCAATGTTTGTTTCACGGCGCAGAGCTACGGCGTGGACGTCGCTTTCGACCCACAGACTCAGGACCCCGAGCAAACGGCTTGGGGTTAGCAACAATACGACAAGACTTTGTCATTGAGGCGCTGCCAATGCTGCTATTGTCGCAGTTAGTGCTACTCTGCGCGACAAGGCGGCGACTACTGCTGCGCTGCTTCTGTTGCTACTGCGGCTATTGATGTCTTTGCTCCTCTTGCCGGTCCTGCTGCTGATGTTACGTTGAGAGTGTGCCTTTGCTCCTGCTCCTCCTCCTCCTCATCCTTGTCCTCCTCCAGCTGATGCTGATACCACTCCTGCTCCTCCGCCTCCCCCACCGACGACGACGACGCGACTACAACTCCTCGTCCTCCTCTTCTTGCGCTCTTGCGTGTATAAGAGAATCAGGCTGTGGAAGGCTTCAGGTACTTTGCCTTTTCAGCTGGAACGATCTGCAACTAGGCGCCGGAAAGTCGTGAGCACAGGAGTCAATTGAGGAGCGCAATTCGGCCTGAGAGAACAGCAAAAGCGCAAGTTTTTGGGAGGTTTGCGCCTTTCAACCCCGAACGTCAAACCACCTTACACCCCTGAAGCATGAACCCCGAACCCCAAACCCTAACACCCTCAAGCCCCAATGCCGCGAAACCCTTGCAACCCTGAAGCTGTGAAGTGGGGGCGGCCAGGAGCAGCTCCTGTCTTTCCGCTTTGGGGCCAGAACCCCGGATGTTGTGAGGTTGGGGGTTTATACAGGGTCGGGAAGAATCGGCAATGCAATTGCTTGGGTTTCCTAAAGTTTCCTATGCTATAATAAGCCCAAATGCAGAATTGTTAGCATCCAGCGCCCCCAAGTCGGGTTGAGGTTCAGGATTTCGGCTCTGAGGTTTTGCATTGGGTGTCCAGTGTATACATCTCTTTTCCACACACCCACACACAAACGCCCACGCCCACGCGCACGCGCACACCCACACCCACACCCCCCCACACCCCCCCACACCCACACCCACACCCACACACGCCTGTACATATGCAGGTATTGTCATGTGTGCCTTACATGTTGCGTGTTTTAGTTCTCATGACTCTACAGGGCCTCGTGGCTTTGGGGTTGACGAGGTTTGGGTTTCAGGCTGTTTCGGACATAAGGTCTTGGGTCTACTATTTGGTGGTCTGTGGAGAAGCCTTCAGCCTCAAGCCTCAAGCCAACAGTTCACTTCGGCTTTGCTAGACGAGAATCCACAGCCCCTCAACCCCAAAACCTAACCCTAAACCCTAAACCCTGAACCCTTTAAGCCCTAACCCCAAAACCTAAGCCCCAAGAGACCCGAAGAGGTCACGGTGTCCTTGCCGCAGCTGCTGCAGCAGCTTATCGAGATCCAGCCCAGGGCCAAGCTTGGTGAGCAGTGCGGAGGCCCTTTGAGCATTGCTAGGTAGGCCTTTGGGATGTTCTTTTTCATCCCTTCATGGGATCTTATTTACGAAGATGTTTCAGAGGCTTAAAAGGCCCAGCCTAGATTAGAATCCTAGAGCTTGAATGTTAGGGATCTTTAGAGTTAGCAATAGCATTCTCCTATCGTCTCTTTATGCGGATACTCCTACTACGATAGACTCGTTCCTATTCTAAGTCTTAGGGCTCCTATGTTGGAGTGTTGGAGCCATGAGGCAAACGCGTAAGCTTCCTCAGCCCCAGAACTCAGGCAACCTTAAGCCAAAAACTTAGAAGCCAGCGGATGAGGGTTCTGCGAGCCCGGATCCTTGCGAGACCTCATTTGCCGAGGAGGGTGTTTGGGGTTTTAAGGGTTTGGGTTTCCGAAATGTCAGCACGAAACCCCCCTAAACGCCAAATCCCATAATCTTAAGTCCCTCATCACCCCAAAAGCCTACGTTTGTAAGACATCTAGAAAGAAGGGTATCATCATAACGAGTTTCGAAAGGTTCAGGGAATCCCGACGTCTTCCAAGGAAGCGCGACGCTGCAACAGGGGCCGTCCCCGGAGCTTCACAGACTGGCGGTGCATCGCTGCCGGGATCTCAGACGTGTTTTGAGCCATCGCAAACGGCCCCCTGATAAGAGCCATTCGGGCTTCTGAAAGTTGAGTAGTAGTTGTTTAGAATAGTAGAGGATCGTTGTGGCTTGAGTTTGAGGCTTCAGGGCCCGAGCGTTTCGGGCGTGAGGATCGTGCAGGTTTGGCCGCAGGATTTGGGACAACACCGAGTTTGACTCTGGGTTCTTGGGGCTCAGGGTCTTAAGGGCGGGGGCCTCCGGGTCGAAGGTTCGAGGGTACAGAGCTTCGGGCTCTAGCCCTGATTGCACTCAAAAAGCAAAAACCAAGCCCTGAAACCTAGACCCTAAACCCTAAGCCCAAGCCTTGATTGCATTACCAAAAAGAAAACCCTAAGCCTTGAAACCCAAACTCTAGACCCTAAGCGATAAACCCTAAACCCCTTCTTCCAACTTCTTGAGATCTTGGGCTCAAGGCTCGAAGTCTCTGAGCCTGGAAGCCCGGAACCCTGACCGAAACCTTCATAGTACCCTTATAGAACCCGTATAGTAGATTTTTAAAAATTATGCCCATATAGTATAGCAGCCCTTTAGAGGAACTTCCCATCAGGGAAGGGCGGAAGGGCCGCGGGTGTCGTTAGGGTGTGGAGACCCCTCCATGAGGGTCTGTGGTCCGTATGGTTCCGAGAGGCCCAGGCGACTGTGGTGCTCTACGCTCGAGAAGCCCCCCAAAGGTCCAGGCAACCGGAACCTTCCCCAAATTTCAGAAGCTGTAAACGCTGAGCCCGGAGCCAACAAAGCTGATGAACCCTCGAGCCCAA